TGGTAATTTCCGACAGGGAATGAAATGGGCCATTTTAGTCAACATATCCACTACCACAAGCACTGTTGTGAACCCCGATGAAGACGGTAAATGTGTCAGAAAGTCCATAGAGATCGCTCCCCATGGTCTACTTGGAGTCGGCAAGGGTTGCAAAAGTCCAGGAGGTGCACCGGATGCTGCTTTCGCTTGCCTACATTGAACGCAAGAAGCGACGTAAGAAGACACATCATGACGAACTCGAGGCCACCAAAAAGTCCGAGTGACCAAATGCAAGGTCTTGTGTAATCCAAAATGACCAGCGGCTGGGTTATCATGACATTGTGTCATGATGAGAGCCCTCAACGGTCTGGTAGGCACATATAATAAACCCCGATATCGAAGCAGATCGTCTTCAAAAGACCATGGAGAAGTTGGGCCAATGTCCTCCTGTCTCTGCTGCGTCCACGCATCCAAACGTTGCGCCTCTCGTAGTTGGGCCCGTAAATCTACCGGTTCCTGCAGTACGGCTAGAGATTCCGGTGGTAACACTGTCCGTAAAGGAAGAGGATTTTCGGCACAAGTATACTCCGGTTTCCGAGATAATGCATCCGCCCTCCGGTTCTGACCACTTGGAACGTAAATAACCGAGAAATTAAATCTGGCAAAAAATAACGACCAACGAATCTGCCTTTGATTCAATTTCCTAGCCGTGGTCAAATGTTCCAGGTTCCTATGATCTGTCCGAACCTCCACCTTGTGTCGAGCTCCCTCCAAATGATGTCTCCAAGTCTCAAAAGCAACCTTAATAGCTAACAACTCTTTTTCCCAAATGGTATAGTTGCGTTCCGAAGCTGTAAGCTTCCTAGAATAATAAGCGCAAGGAAACAAAAGAGCGCCATCCTCCGAAGCTTGTAACAGCACTGCTCCGATAGCGACATTAGAAGCATCTGTCTCGACCACAAATGGGCGATCCGGATCAGGATGCTTTAATATGGGTTCAGTTATAAATGCTTTTTTCAAAGTGTCAAAAGCCTGTTGTTGTGGAGGCCCCCACACAAATGGAACCTTCTTACAAAGAAGCTGGGTTATGGGATCCATTATCTTCGCAAAACCTGGAATGAAAGTCCGATAATAGTTGGCAAATCCTAAAAGTCGTTGCACATCTTTAACCCGACGAGGAGCTTCCCAACTACACAACGCCTCAACCTTTTTGGGGTCCATAGCAATGCCCACAGGAGAAATAATGTGTCCCAAGAATTCGATAGACGACTGAAAAAAGAAACATTTTTCTAATTTAGCATAAAGTTTATGTTCCCGAAGACGCTGAAGCACTTGACGCACCTGCTGAAGATGTTGCTCTTTAGATTTTGAATAAATCAAAATGTCGTCCAAATATATGACAACAAACTTATCCAACATGTCTCGAAAGATATCGTTCATTAAATGTTGAAATACAGCAGGAGCGTTGGTCAAACCAAATGGCATAACGGTGTACTCGAAATGACCATAACGAGTGCCAAAAGCCGTCTTCCACTCGTCTCCCTTACGCATCCGAACCAAATTGTAAGCTCCACGTAAGTCAAGTTTCGTGAAAATTGTAGCTTCCCGTAACCGCTCCAACAATTCGGAGATGAGCGGTAAAGGATAGCTATTTCTCACAGTGATAGCATTTAAGCGTCTATAGTCACAACAAAGACGAAGTTCTCCCGACTTCTTCTTGACAAAGAGAACGGGTGCTGAAAGAGGGGATGACGAAGGTCGAATAAATCCCCGAGCTAGATTTTTATTCAAAAATTCTTGAAGTGCAACTAGTTCAGGCTCAGACAAAGAATACAACCTCCCCTTTGGTAATGGAGCGTCCGGTATCAAATCCACGGGACAGTCGTAAACACGATGTGGTGGTAATTGATCTGCCTCCTGTTCACTGAAAACATCGGGGAAATCCGACAGCTCTGAAGGAATCGAGGCAGCAGAAGCGACAATATGTTGGCCTGCGCAAACATGTCTCAGGTGGTCCACACATTGCAGGCTTGGAAAAGAAACAGCGTTCTGCGCCCAAGCCACCAACGGATCGTGTAGACGCAGCCAGGATACTCCGAGCACCAAAGGAAGATGGAGGTTCGAAGTGATATAAAAACTTATCGCCTCCTCGTGATCCCCAATACGCATACGCAGTGGTTGGGTGGCAAAGCGAATAGGTCCCGACTTGAGTTCGCGCCCATCTACGGTTTCCACCTGCATGGGGGGATTCACAGGCACTAAAGGAACTTTGAAATGTTTTACAAAATCATAATCCATAAAGCTAGTCGTAGCCCCTGAATCCACCAATGCCACGGCAGGGATTCCCTCCTTCCGAGATTGCAAGAATATGCGAGTGTCCAAAAGTAAATGTCGAGGAGGGCCAGAATTAACTTCAGCAATTTGAGATGAAAGTGAATACTGTGCCCGACCTAGGGTTTCCCTGAGGTCGGGCCTACCCCGTTTCCCGACGGACCAGCAATGGGTTTTGATACAGGTCCACGAGTCCCCTTCCGAGTGCAGGAATTTGCAAAATGTCCCGAACCCCCGCAATAAAGGCACAAACCTTCCTGAAATCTTCTCGATCGTTCCTGAACTGTTAAACGAGGGCGGAGTGCGCCTATCTCCATCGGCTCCTCTGCTGGAATTCTGGATTGGAAAACCCTCATAGACGGGGTGCGTGAACGAGGAAACACAGGTGGCTCTGCAACGGTCCGTTTACACCCACGATGTTGTAGGCGAGCTTCAATACGTAAGCATTGAGTAATCAATGTGTCCAAAGTTGAAGCACGCTCTGCATGAATTAGTTCATCCTTGATAATGTCGGACAAACCCTCTTGGAATGCTGCCATGTGAGCTGGTTCATTCCAGGTGGAGTCCATACACAACAAGCGAAATTCTGCAACGTATTCTTGCAATGAGTGTTTACCTTGAATAATATCCCTCAATTTTCTGTCCACAGTTTGAGATTTAATTGGATTCTCAAACATAACGTTCATCTGTTGAATAAACCCCTGGAAATCGTCCAGTAATGGACTATCTTGTACTAATAAGGGAGTAGCCCATTTGGCAGCCTGCCCGGTTAACAAACTAATAATAAAGCCAATTTTAACTCGATCGGTTGGAAAATCCTCCGGCCTCACAGAAAAATACAATTGGCACTGACCCAAAAATGTTGAAAACATGTCCGTTTGCCCAGAAAATTTATCTGGCATAGCTATCGGAATTTTTCTCACAGGGGGTGCAGGGGAAACTCCAGCTGCAGCTGAAACAGTTTGAGAATTGGCAACGAACGATAATAATTGTGTTACCTGATTTTGAAGGGATACGTTGCTCTGAAGTAATTGATTTATTTGCATCTGTTGCTGCTCCACCAATTGTTGCATTTGAGTTGAATCCATCGTTGCAAAGATGGTCTGTTAGGTCCGGAACAAAAATGTTATGTCCCACCTTCTAAAATAAACAGTTAAGGCTGAAAGCAGCAGTCCTTGTAAAGAAAGGCAGCAAACAGGAATTTTCACAGATAACTCCAATAAGTAAAAGTTCCAACGAACTAAATCCAAGACTCAACAAGATTCTTCAGATCAAAATCCTTCACAAAATAATTCCAATAAGTAGAAGTTCCCACGAATTAAATCCAAATCCCAACAAGATATTTCAGATCAAAATCCTCCAAACTGTGCTCTTCAGTTCTCCTTGCAAATAGACACTTTGTTCCGGACAAAGTGCAAAGTCATATCTCTCCCTTTATAGAGTAACTAATTAGTCTAATTGCTGGTCTGCTCTCCTACTGTATCCTCGTTGGTTCCTCCTTGTCAGGAGACGTCTTGTCCTGACATCTACCCAGCAATCATCCAAATTATCATCTTCTTCACCTGAAGATATCATTGGTTCCTCATTATCACCCGTTCCCGGCTGACCACCTAATTGAAGGGTGGAGGAGTTTGAAGGTTCAAGCCGATCTTGCAAATCAAATGCATTCATCTCCTCCTCATCGTTAGAACTTGCTGATTCATATAAGTCCTCCTCGCTGGAGCTGTCATTCAAAAAACCTGTAGCAGATGCCGGAATCACAACATACATACATACATACATACATACATACATACATACATACATATATATATAAAGAAAAAAAAACAATAGCCAAAGGGAGCCTCTATCTTAAAAAATCAAAAAGGAGCAAATATATATAAGAGAAAATTCAGTCCGGTTAATTATAAAGTCACGCTGAAATTCCAAAAAAAAAAAAGTAAGAAATAGAAAAAAAAATCCAAGCCTCAATTTGACATCTCTTTAAAAAACGCCGCTCATACAGTTTTTGTCAAAAAAAAATCTCACAGATTTCTTCTTATATCCAGAGTGTCCTTTCAAAACTCAGCTAATTAGCAAAAAAAAAGTTTCTCACCCAGCCGACACACTTTCACTCTCAGCTCTTCCTTACCGGAGCTGTCCCGACTTCAGCAGCTATGGAGGCTGCCTCTCCGCCGCCAGCAATAGGACTTCTTCCGGATCGAACCAGGGACTTTGCGATGTCCCTGGGATCCAGGAAATGTGCCCTACACAGTCACCGTCTCTACGGGACGGTTTAGGTCCGTTAGAACCGAACGGGGGCGAAAATATCAGCTGTGATCTCGGAGCCCCGAGATTACAGCTGTATCGCCGAAACTAAGCTCCGCCTTAATTTGTTTAATTTTTGAACTTCCCTTGGTAGGAACAGTGACTACCATATACCATCATATGAAACTGACAAATATATTCTGAAATTGTTTGGCAAAATTTCCCAGTTTTATCTTGTGTTTGTGATTTTGGCTTACTTTTACAAAGCATGAAAATCAAGTAAAATGTAATAACTTCAGTGGAAGCTGAGAATCTGTATAAAGTTTAACTGACATAGACAAAAATATCTGGCTGAAACAGTTTAATATTAATTCAGCTGTTCAGTTTGCACAATAACATTTATTTAGCTATTTCAATTTTCATCTTTTTTTAATGAACTGTAGGAACATCATCTCCAGCGGGCCATTTCAGCACAGCAGGTATATGGAGAGAAGCGGGATAATATGGTTATACCAGTCCCAGAAGCAGAAAGTAATATTGCTTATTATGAATCTATATACCCTGGAGAATTTAAGATGCCAAAGCAGCTTATTCACATACAGCGTGAGTATATCTTTTAACTGAATGTTTAAAATGAACCAGATTGCTTTTTAAAATTAAACAGTTTTGTAGATTCACAATCGCCTTTGGATATAAAGAAAGGATAAGGTTAGGGTCATGTAAGTATTCGGACATCCCAAAGGTGCTTTTTCAAAGAGGCAACTGGACTTTCTTGTTTTTTCTTTGAAGACGTTTCACTTCTCATCCAAGAAGCTTCTTCAACTCTGACTGGATGGTTGGGAATGGAAGGATTTATACTCCTTGCTGACAGCTGGTCATTTGTATTCCTTTAGTGAGTTGTTCAGGCCACCTGGAGGTTTATCTGTGTTATCAGGGTCACCTGAGTGGTGCAAATGGGTGTGGAGCCTTCTTGGAACTGTTGAAAGGACTGTGTTGTAGACTGGAGATAGATGATGTCATATCCCTCACCCTCTGTTGAGAGAGGGCTGTTCAATTTTGACACAGATTGCCTCTTTGACCCCTCTTTCAAACCAGCAGTCCTCTTTGTCCAAAATGTGGACTTTGCTGTCTTCAAAAGAGTGGTCTTTGTCTTTTAAATGCCAGATGGACTGCTGAATCTATTCCTGATGTGTTTGTTCTCCTATGTTGTGCCATGCGTTTATGAAGTGGTTGTTTCTCCAACGTACAGATCTGCACATGGCTCACTGCATTGTACTGCATATACCATGTTGCTCAGTTTGTGTCTGGGTATTTTATCCTTGGGGTGGACAAGCTTCTGCCTTAGTGTATTCTTGGGTTTGAAGTGTGCACATATGTTGTGTTGGCTAAAGATCCTCCTGAGCTTTTCCGATATTCTGATGAAGAACTCTGAAGAGCTGCAGAAATGGAGGTCACATCCCAAAGATATGAGCCCCATTTATTTCTTCAGTCCCTCTAAGGAGCTCCCCTCTGCTCAATCTCTGTTGTGTGTGGGTGTGGGTGGGTGGGTGGGGGGGGGAGACAGGTAGTTTCTGTAGACGGTCTCTCCTGTGCCTGACCCATTCCCTCCCTTGCAAAATGGAGAGTTTGGAGAGGAAAGGATTACAAGAGAGTAAGCAGGCACACAATGGGGAATACATTGGGCTGTTTGCATGGTACACTCACAGCTGCCGACACCTGCACATTTCCGGGGGGCGGGGTATAGGACAATGCATACTGACTGTAATGACAATCACATGACTAATGGACACTGTAAACGTAAATGGGGACATTGGTTATAAAGTTTTTTTCCCAGCACCATTCTAACCTCAAACGGCCGCTGAACAAGGCTGGGAATAATGGGATGGATCTATCAAGTTTGTCTTATTCACCCTGAAAACAACACAGTTAAATATGTGTAAATAAAAGGGATGTAAAAGTATGTAAAAAGTAGTGGTGTAAAAGGGAAGGCTTTGGTTATATTAATCACAATGTCTGCAGCTGGTCCAATGAAAAACTGTACAAAAGAGATGGTTTGCATCCATCAAAGAAAGCGATTGAGTTTCTTGGCATTAAATTAACAGGTTTTCTGGAGAAACATTTAAACTGAACAGCGGGGACAGAGAAATAATTGATACATAATATTTCTTTCCCCAGCAATCTAAAACTAATAGGGTTATCAGTGCATGTAACATAGATGTTTGTGCAGGTAAGAATATCAACCTTGCTGTCAAGCAAAATCCAGCATTTAATAGTGAGTGCCATACCATGTGAACTAATCAAACAGGTGGTAAGGAAGTAGGAGTTATTTAGAAAGTAAATACAGGGTCAGTCAAAAAGGACTCAGATGTCTATACACCAATGCACAGAGTGTGAGGAATAAACAGGGTGAATTAGAAATTCAAGTAAATGAGGGCAAATATGATATTGTTGCCATTGCAGAAACTTGGTGGGATGAAACCCACAAATGGAACATACAGCTAGAGGGATTTAAATTATTTAAAAGAAATAGACCAAATAAAAGAGGAGGTGGAGTTGTACTATATCTATATCTCTACAGAAATAGAGTACAACAATGATGAAAACTGTCTTGAATGCATTTGGGTCAATATAAAAAAGGGAAAAAATGACATTGCCATAGGTGTATACTATAGGCCACCCATCCAAACAAAGGAAATAGATGAACTTTTTGCTAGTCAGTTAACTTAGGTATGTAGGAAGCACATCACAATCGTAATAGGGGACTTTAACTACCCTGACATCAACTAGGAGACAAACTCTGCATCAAGTGGAAGATCAATCAGGTTCCTGACAAACGTAGCAGACAACCTTGTCTCCCCAAAAGTAGAGGAGGGAACTAGGGGATCAGCCATATTGGACTTAATTCCCACTAAGAGAGATGAAATGATAGAAGGTGTTGAAGCTACAGGAACCTTGGGGGCAAGTGATCATGCAATATTGGAATTCAACATGATGCACAACACAGGCACAAAAACAGGTGAAGTCCCTTTAATTCCTTCAATTTGGCTTCAAAGCTCCAAATATCCTTGACTGGAGACAAAAAACTCCCCCACAAACAGTTGCAAAAAGGAGGAAATGCCGTTTAAACTAAAAATACCTATAAATTATAACTAGAAAAAACAACACAAACCACACTGAAGCAATTAAAGGAACCAGGCAAGATAAGGGCTTGAAGACGTCCACAGATATTGGAACACACACTGGGAAGGGCGCCAAACTCGGGTAAGAACGGACAGACTAGAAATATTTTCACGCTTTGTTTCCACCACTGGCTCATGCACAGTCCGTCCTTTTAAATAGTTCTCACAGCTGCAGCCCATGAAGGGGATCAAGGCCCTTTCCTACCCTGTAGACCACGCCGTTCACGTTTCTCCCTTATCCTCTCCTCCCTGCATGCCCTAGGATGGAGAGGCGATGGGCCTGGGTCCTACTCTGACTGCCCAGCCGGCCTGTGCCCTTCCCCAGCCTCCTCCCCAACCTCCGGAGCCACACTTTCACTCCCTGTCCGCTGTTCCTCCTCTCCCTCAGAGTCAGTCTCCAACAGGGGCATGACAGCCACATTTGGAATACTGCATCCAATTTTGGTCACCACGATGTAAAAAAGATGTTGAGATTCTAGAAAGATTGCAGAGATCAGCAACAAAGATGATTAGGGGACTGGAGGCTAAAACATATAAAGAACAGTTGCTGGAATTGGGTATGTCTAGTTTAATGAAAAGAAGGACTATGGGTGACATGATAGCAGTGTTCCGATGTCTCAGGGGTTGCCACAAAGAAGAGGGAGTCAAGCTAATCTCCAAAGCACCTGAGGGCAGGACAAGAAGCAATGGATGGAAACTAATCAAGGAGAGAAGCAACCTAGAACTTAGAAGAAATTTCCTGACAGTTAGAACAATTAATCACTGGAACAACTTGCCTCCAGAAGTTGTGAATGCTCCAAAACTAGAAGTTTTAAAGAAGAGATTGGACAACCATTTCTCTGAAATGGTATAGGGCCATGATGGCGAAACTGATTCACGGGGGTGTGCCGTGGAAATTATCCAGCATTATGTAAAAAGACAGAGGACATATGTTTACAAACTGATTTTATACATACAAAACTAATTTAAAGCTTTCTTTCAATACATATATCAAACTTACAAAGTTCCATCCTGACTAATTAAGCCATTAAATTTAAGCCGCTCCCTCCAGCTTATCTTTATAGAAAGAAGTCTTTTTCTTCTCAGGGGAGGCTATCAAGTCTCTTTTCTTTAAGAAGTTCTCAGCCTTATTTATATCCATGAAAAAATGTCCCAAAGTTTTTGTGTTAGAGTTAGACGTTGTAAATTAACCTAGAGCAAATCCTCGTAGATTAAAGTTTCCTTCTCTAAGATGACTATCATATCTTTTTTAATGAAAGAATTCTCGACCTTGTCAGTATCCATGAAGAAAAAGTCCTAAACTTGACCTCTTGAAAGTTGTGAATTTACTTGGCATTCTTGTTTCAGTTGCACTGGGAGAGTTATATTCAAACCATCATCATAAAAAAAGCTGATATCAGATTTATATTCCAAAGATACAGTTAGGTTATTCGCATTGTCCAGCATTCGTAGAGTTGACACAGTGGGTTGATAATTTTCTACACCTAATTGTGTCTCTTGTTCTTTTCTAATACCTCTGTATAATTAATATCTTCTAACTTATTTATGAAAAGAGCAATTTTCTGTATGGACTTTTCAAAGATTTTCCTTGACAACAGACTCCAGCTCAGAGTTAAACATCTTGATAGCTCCCTCTGGTGGTCATAAAATGTTTTTTATTTATTCCTTTTTCTAGCCAATCAGAGTTCATTAAAATTGGCAAATTTCAACCTCCCACAACAAAATAGTACAGGGCTACAGATTATTTTAAAAGTAGTAGATTAAAACCACAGTTTATATCCTTATATTTCAAGAGAAAAAATATTCCACGTTTCCTTATTTTGGCTGCCTCTAGCAACCCTCTTCCTTGTCGTTTAGCAATAAAGAAGTCTCAAAAATGGTGTTCAGACATTCAAGAAGAAATGATAGGCTGTAACTAAAGAGAGCTTCTTTTAACTAATAGAGATAATAGTCTCATGAATTGATTAAGAAATGAAGGGCACAGCTTATTGTCCATTTGAAAAATAAATTCCAAAACAGCTGTTTTATCCAACAACGATGTAATGTCAGCGTTCCAGCGAACCTCCATTCCAATCAGTAACTCCGAGACAAGCATAATCTCAAAAGTACCTTTATTAGAATAGCACATGGCACATCTGTGGAATCTTGAAACTAAATTTTCCCGGACTTCCCACAATGTCCCAAACTACAATCCATCCCCTTTTCCCCCATCATCACATCACATGGACCAATCATGATCCATCCCAGTGTAAGATCCTTTTTCTCTGCTACACCACACTTAATAACCTTGAACTAAGGAAATAATTTTATTTTGTCTACTTAGAACGACTCAATTGAAATCACCCCCCTCCCACTTTCTTAGGCAATGTGACAGTGTGGAATATGGCTTCCAAAGCTGACAGGCGTCCCCCCTTGAAAAGTTCA